GCGGGGTCGGGGGGAGGTGGGGAGGGTGTCTAAATCTTTATAACACCATCGGTTATATCTTTTTTCCTTCCTGTAATTTTATTTTCTTCCGAGACTGTCGGAGGTATTCTTTTTAAAAATACAGTGTCGCTTTGGTGAGTTGAAAATTCAAGATGAGTCGTGCATAATTAGATGTTTCCCTGAAGTACAGACATCTTTTTTAGGTCGGTGTGGTGCGGAGGGATGTGGGCCGCAGCTGCGGGCACTGGGCTTGGAGGCGCCTGTTTAGCCCCAACAGCTTTGTTTAAAAAGGTGTCCTCCCCTGCGCCGGGGCCTCCCTACTTCACCTCTTCTGCTTGTAAACCCTTTCATCCAATTTGTTCTAAGTGTCTTAAGTGAAGTCAAGACTTCTTCATTCCTCCTTTAACGTGGCAATGAGTAATTCTGGGTAACGAGGCAGACCGGAATTTACACCTCTCCCCCCCAAAGAAAAAGATATTTAAAAAGAGAGAAAGGGTAACAGCAGTCCTGGGGAGGTTACCACTTAACACACAGAACCTTGGCATTGAAAAGGCTACCTGTGACCAGACCGGCCTGCTATTGTGCGGGTCTCTACACAGCCGGGAACAAAGAATTCTAATTACCGCAATCTTATGGGAGGGTCGTGTGCCGGGGCTCCTCGGGATCTCTCTGGTGCTGGAGCCAGGGTCTAGGGCTGCTGCCAGCTTGCAGACCCTCGGGGCTCCCAGGAGGAGGCCTGCGGAGAGGGTGAAGGTGTGGGTGGGTCCTGGCTGCTCCTCTGCAAGGCCTGGCAGCTGGCATCCTGGTCTCCTGACCGCCAGTCCCCTGGTCCCGGCCAAGTACAGCCGGTTCCAGAGGGCTGTGTTGGTGCCCTGGCCTGGAGCTTTCAGAAAAACCGGGTGGGGGAAAGCAGGCTGCTGAAGCTCTCCCTCCCAAGTTCAGCCCCCCAGGCCCTTCTGGGAGAAAAAGCACCCAGATTTCCCTTCATGGGAAACCCCCAAATCTGGGCTTTGACTCAGTCCCCAGGGAGCTGAAAACAGGTGTGGAGGGCAGCTGAGCCCTGCCGCTCCTGGTCCTCAGGCCAGACGCTCAGCGCCGGGCCAGTCGGGCTGCTTAGAACCCAAGCTGTGAGAAGCGAGGAGGGGCCCTGCCCTCTGCCTCCCAACCAGGAACCCAGTGCCCTCAGTCAGGGGCCAGACCAGTCCTGCCCAACGAAGGGGCAGCTCCCAGTTCCCTGAGGTGAGAAGCTGGAGCGGGAAGCCGGCGAGAGGCCCCGTCGGCCTCCTTCTGGGTGGAAAAGATACACCTGCAGCCTGATGCCGAGATCCAGCTCAGGGCCGGCTGGGCCGCGTGGCTCGGCTCCCGCCCCCTGGCTGGAGCCGAGGCTGTGCAGGCCTGTCGGTGGGGAGTGGGGAGCCCCGAAGCCCCCCCGCCGCCTGACCGTGCCCCCTTCCTCTCCCCTATCCGGCTGGTCTAGGTCTGGTTCCAAAACCGCCGCGCCAAGTGGAGGAAGAAGGAGAACACCAAGAAGGGCCCGGGGCGGCCCGCGCACAACTCCCACCCGACCACGTGCAGTGGCGAGCCGATGGACCCGGAGGAGATCGCGCGCAAGGAGCTGGAGAAGATGGAGAAGAAGAAGCGCAAGCACGAGAAGAAGCTACTCAAGAGCCAGAGCCGCCACCTGCACTCACCCGGCGGCCTGTCCCTGCACAGCGCGCCCAGCTCCGACAGCGACAGCGGCGGCGGCGGCCTGTCCCCAGAACCGCCCGAGCCGCCGCCATCCGCCGCCGCGGCCAAGGGTCCCGGCGCGCACAGCGCTGGCGCCGCCTGTGCAGCGCCCGCACCGCCTGGCGAGCCGCCTGCGCCCGGCACCTGCGACCCCGCCTTTTTCCCGAGCCAAAGAAGTGGCGCTGGCCCGCAGCCACGGCTAGGCCGCCCCGTGGACAAGGACGTGGCCCCGTGTGCACCGGGGGTGGTGGCGGCTGAGCGCGGGGCCGCGGGCCCGCCCAAGGCCAGCCCGTTCAGCGTGGAGAGCCTACTGTCCGACTCGCCGCCGCGCCGGAAAGCGCCCCCAGCCAACGCGGCTGCCGCAGGGCTGGACTTCGCACCCGGGCTGCCATGCGCGCCGCGGACCCTCATCGGCAAGGGCCACTTTCTGCTCTATCCCATCACGCAGCCACTCGGCTTCCTGGTGCCACAGGCCGCGCTCAAGGGAGGCGCGAGCCCTGAGCCCGCGCCCAAGGATGCGCCTCCCGCGCCCTCCGTGCCGCCCGCTCCGCCTGCCCAGGCTAGAGACAAGGACGTGGCCCCGTGTGCACCGGGGGTGGTGGCGGCTGAGCGCGGGGCCGCGGGCCCGCCCAAGGCCAGCCCGTTCAGCGTGGAGAGCCTGCTGTCCGACTCGCCGCCGCGCCGGAAAGCGCCCCCAGCCAACGCGGCTGCCGCAGGGCTGGACTTCGCACCCGGGCTGCCATGCGCGCCGAGGACCCTCATCGGCAAGGGC